CCCCCCTTCCCTTCCAATTCTCCATCCCCTCATTCATTCCCCCTTCCCCACTTCTCATTCCCCCTCCCATTGATGCTCGGTCGCTCTCTCCAAAATGTCACCGAGGGTCTTTCCAGTATCTTTCCACCGATTGTACCAGTGCGTATCTGGTTCATTACTACACTTGCAACACAATAAGGTCGGTATAATAAGTGCCGAAGATTAGAAGTGTTACAAGAGAGTAACAAACACACAAAAAGGAGGAGGGGAGATAGAGAAGAGAGATTTTTTTACAGGAAAGAAGGAGCAAACCACACCAGAGCACCTGCCAACTAGACCTAACGCTCTAATTGGTTGCTTTTTAGCACAAGGGGAATATCCCGAAAAATGCTGGTTTGAGAAAATCGAAGGCAAATATTTTTGCCCCTTTTCCCGTTTCTTTAAAAGACCAGGAAAGTTTTATATATAATATCTAAACAAATATGCACACAAATAAAACCAAACTTCTCCTAAAGGTAGGGCAATGACCACTTTTGGTGTAGGTCAAGATTTCTGGAAACCGTAGGTCAAGATTTCTGGAAACCGTAGGTCAAGATTTCTGGAAACCGCAGGTCAAGATTTCTGGAAACCCCCGAAATATAGGTTAGCCCGCTTGCCCTTAAAAGTGACCAATTGTGCTTGAGTACCAACCTGCTACGCTCCCTGACGTCCCGTAGAGCTCGCTGTTGTCCACAATCACTGCCAATAAAATAATAGAAGTAAATAAACATTATACAGAAATCATGTAAAGAAATTGATCTCAAATATGAAGTAGTTGAAATATACAACAAGTAATAAGCAAGCAAGATCTCACTGCGCACCAAGATTCGACTCTTGAACTCCAACGTCAAGTCTGTACTCCTCTACCGCTGCAAAACGAAGTCCAGACTTTCATCAACAGATGTATGAGGATATTCTAAGAATTAAGTGGCAGGATAGAATAAGAAATGAAGAGCTGCGGGAAAGGACAGGACAAAAGGATATAGAAGTAGAAATAGGACTAAGAAAGTGGCGATGGATGGGACACACCTTAATTTAAGAAAGCCCAGCGGAAACATCACAAGACAGTCACTGCAGTGGAACCCACAAG